TGCTTTTATAGTAGTGAGCTTGCGCTGCCTGTGAATATACGTCATCAAATAGCTGCTCCCGCAGTCCCCGAAGTCGCCATGTTAATTAAACCAACACATTCAAATATACATTCTTCTTGTTAACGTTCAAAAGTGGCCGGGTATTCTACATTTGCTCCAAACTCTGTGTGCCAACTGACAGCCTGACATAGCCCCTTTTAAATTAAGCAGAAAATTCAGAAGTTTCTTTCCGATAAGCAAACAATAATTAAACCGAACAATAAAGGCTTGGTGCTTCAAGTTTTTACCAAGAAGATCGAGAAATATCGAATGAAACAAAGGAAACGTGGACGATGCTTAAAAATTTTAAATGTATAACGAGAAACAAATAATATTTGGGATCCATGAGAATAAATTAATCTGAGTCACATGAAATAAGCTCACTGTCGTGCGAACCTGATCATGAAGAAGTCTCTACACATCTGTAGCTTAATACGTAGCTGAATGGTTAAGCACGTTCTTCCAAGCATCAGCTGACTAGTCAATCATAATGTTAGTCTCTAAATAGTGCTGACAAACACTTCTCATTTTTTTTCATACCTTTTCGAAGCCATTTCTTTCAATCCAGCCGAAAAGACCTCGCCTTTCGCCATATTTGAAAACGATTAAACCTTGAATGCTAATCGATAATCTTCGTGGGATGTTCGTGAGGTTTTCGTGACATCAAAATTTCGACGAGGGTGCGGCGTGGCTACCAAGCTGGAGCATTTTCAAAACATTGCTAACTTATGGAAATATTGACCTCGTGTTTCTAGCGTGCCTGTATTGCATTTCCCACCAAACTGGAGGCAGGCCAGTGAAACGAGAGGTTTAACATGTTGTTTTTGAATAAGTTCATTTTATATTTTCTTAAGTCTAACAGGCCTTGATGCGTTCTTTTACGCATGAAAATCGAATTTTGCGGTGGATCCTGGTTGTTGTGACGCTGTTGACAGTCATTCAAGTTCCAGAACTGCTGGGGGAGACTTTATTAAATGGAGCAAGACTGGGCACGTTTCCAAAACCGGACTTTCGAACTAATTTCACCCTTAAGTCAAACCAGGGCTCTGGCTCATACAAGGAGATTCATCATGGGCTAAATTCGGATCCATTTTATGTGCGAGTCTATGCGAAGCCTACTGGCGGAAACAACAGTGGTTTTTGCTTCAATGGAATAGGCTCCAGTCAGTCTTCTCCGTCAAAAAGCTCCTTTGGAGGCTTAATATTTGCTTACAACTCAGAGTTTGTTCGCATATGGGCTCCTTCAGATCTTAAAGGCCATGTGGTGTTTGTGAAAGACGGATGGGGGGGTGAAGTAAACACACAAGAGTCGAATGAAGCCGAAGTTGTTGTCGAAGTATGGAAGGATGGACCTGCGCCTACGTTTCAAATTGAGCACATTATTGACACACGGAGGAAAGAACCAAATGATGCGTACCTACTAATAGATCATGAACTGAGACAATTACCTGAAAGAGTTGTTGTTAGAATGTTGCCCCTTGAGACAACTGATGCTGAAAGCAACCCTAATAAAGGATTTTGGTTTCATGGAATCGCTTCATCCCAAAATCCTGATCCAACTAATAACTTTGGCGGGGTGATATTCGCTTATAACGAAAGATGGGTGCGTTTATGGGCTCCTGATGGATTTAACCAAACCACAGGATGCATTTTTGTAGGTGAGGAATGGGCAGGGCAATTCAACACACAGAAAGTTAAAAGGTGTAAAGTGGAGATATTGCTATGGGCAAATCAGCTTCCTGTGCCAACTTTTCAGTCAGACTGGTTTGGTTTTAGAGGTCAAAGAGATCAACATTCATTTGCAGAAATTTATCATGGCTTAAATTTATTACCATCCCTTGCCATTGTGCAAATTAAGGCATTGAACGATATGAATATTGGCTATGTATTTGAGGCGCAAGGTGCAACACAGTCGGATGACGATAGTTTTAATGAATATGGTGGAGTTGTTTTTGCATATGACAAGAATACGATCCGAATCTGGGCACCAAGCAAACATGATGGGTCAAAGAAAGGCTATCCCATTCTAGTGAAAAACAGTTGGGGATATGGTTCCAATCCTCAGAAAGGTGGATTTGTCAATGTTGAAATCAGAGTTGTCTTGTATGCCACCAAATGCAACAGTTCAACTCAAGTACTATATGAGGGTGACCATTGTATTACAGCACTATATAACTCTTACAAGATCCTATCATCCTGGTCCAAGTGCTCTAGTATTTGTAATAATGGAACACAGAAGAGATTGTTGACAGGTGAATATTGTTCTGGGAAAGATTTCTGTGTAACCTTGTACTTAATTATGCATACAGTTCAGTGATAACACAACAGCAAACATATTAGGTTACCCTCAGGACTAAGGCTTTGCTTGAGAACAGTATGGGAAGATATAGAAATCTTTCCATCTACTGAGATTTCAACTACTTTAAGTTCTATCCTAACTGATATGAATATCCAAGGCATTAAAGGAAAGAATATAAACATATACTGTACTTCTGTATGGTATCAGAGTTATGATATACTCATCAGAAGTTACACTAGTGCTGATCCTGGGTACATGATTTTTACCAATTGTTTTAGGGGGAGGCAAATCTTTATTTTACTTAATAAATGGTAATGTATTCATAGAATAAAACCCTTGCATAAAGTGCTTTCAATTGAGTGTTGCAAGACCAAAATTGAAGTTATCACAACAGCCAATACAAGGGAAGAAAATGAGCATCAGAGCACTAGATTGCTTCAAGTGCGGGAAACACTAACTGATTAAGTTGGGATTGGGTTTAATCTTGCATCTGATTAGTTAGGTGGGTGGTGTGACGTAACTAGACTAAGTATAAAGCAAAGCAATGCAGTCTTGTGGTACTTTCTCCACGTGACTGAAAATTGGTTGCAGCCACATCCACTGGGGAGCATTAATCCAAAGTTTGGTTGTGAGAGAAATGGTAGCTGGATGGGTAACTAACTGAATAGTACATTCAGAGTCAAGGGAATGATGCTCAAGCCTACATCAGTATCATTCTGTTGTGTTCTTCAAGGACGCAATTAACTTATAAGCTGGTTCAAGTGTCGACTATGCTGGCTTTTGTAAAGGCTTCATTTTTCTTATTTTAAACAGCAAAATTTGGGAAAAGCACTGTTAGTGATGCCTTGAATGTGTTCACTCATTTCATCTCTTTTTTTTAGGTTGCCAGGTGGCTGTTAGAAAACCTGTTTTATCTGCATCTTGTGACTTTGAGGATGGAATGTGTGGTTGGACTTCAGCAAGTGCCAATGGTGCCCCCCTGAAATGGGTTAGAACTAATACCTCTACCCCTGCTTCAAATACAGGACCATTGTGGGGTCATCCTAAAGGCTCTTTCTATATATACACCAATACTACAAATGCTGCAGTGTCTCAGCAAGGTACATGATAATTATATCTTTTAAAAGTCACAATAAATAATCACAAGGGGTTAAGAAAAATGGATGAAGGAAGTTAAAGTGAAAACATTACAGCCTTTGTATTCTTCCACTACCCAGAAAAGAAGATGTCAGTAATTGTGATTTTTTTTGTTTTCTTACTGTAGCTTCCTTAACAAGTCCAAATATTGGTGGTGCTGGCAATTGTTACTTTCGATTCTTCTGGAACATGTATGGAAGTGATGTAGGCATGCTTGCTGTTCATGTTAATACCAAAGATCCTCTTGTGACGAGTTATCCTAAATGGTCAGAGCCACGTGAGTGTCAAAATTCAGGGGACTCTATTTTGAAAGGAATAATGATAAGATTTCAAGCAAGCTCAATTATGATTATCCAACTACACTCCATAGAGTACAAATAATGCTATAGACGAGTACAAATATCACACGTTATTTGTACTACAGAGAACTGGTTAGACAGGTTTTCTCACATCGCGCAAGCAAAGAATTGGATTGAAGTTTCGAAAAAAAAAGTGGGAGACAATTTGAATCATATTTCTTACGACAAAGAGTCGGAATGGCTGGCAAATATAGATCCAAGTAGTTGAATTGAATGAAGAAAAACAGTTAGACAACCAGGAAATTTCTTAATTTGTTGAAGAAAATAGAAACAGCAACATGACAACATGCCAATTCTGTTCCGCGTTGCTTACTTCTGTCACACACTCCCCGTAAATAAATATCTGCGAAATTCACTATTGTCGAGATAACAATTTGGCGTGTTGGATAATAAATAACTTATGAGACAATATTCTGTGTAGTATCGCTGAGTGTTTCGACTCGTTATTTGTATTTTGAATCGCCCTGTGGGCTCATCAAAATACGGCATAACTCGTAAAAATACTCAGCGATACTACACAAAAAAACGTCTAATAAAATATATATACTATTCATAAACACTGGGATGGTGTTGTTTAGGGGTCAACCATTATCAACTGCAACAAGACCTAGTTGAATTCTCCCAAGAGAACACTTTACCAACCAATTTTGGGTTGAAACAAAGTCATTATTGGGCCTCTCAGAGTTAATGCAGTAGTGAACAGATTTCTACTCCAATCAAACCAAAACACAGCTTGGATTTTATTCCAGGTGCTTCTACACTCACAGAATACACTTTAGTCACATTAAACATACACTTGCTGCCTCAATAAGTTGTGGAAGACATCACATATAAAAAAATGTAATCAAGAACAAAGAATGTTTACCAAGAATGTGACCGCAAGAACAATATAACAGGGTATGAGTTTTTTAACTCATAAGTGTCATAAAAGGGACTAATTATCTGTAATTCAAGTGTGACTGCCACAGGGGCTAAGTTACTGGATCATACATGTATGTTTAACCACTTGCTTGATTTTAATTGTATGAAATAAATTGCTGATTTAAAGCCAAAAGCTGTCTTCGTAGGATTTACCATTTGCATCTAAACATTAAGGAAGTATAGTTACCTTTTAATTTAATTGACTGTTTATTTTGCAGATTGGAACATGACAGGTGATCAAGGAGACATTTTCTGGAGGGCAGCATTTGTGCATCTTGAAGAATTTAGCAAAATTTACCAAATCCGCTTTACACATACATTGCCAGAGAGCAACTGTGGATCAGATAAATCACAGCAATGCACTATTTGCAAAAATAAACGCTGCCCAGCTGCCAATGTAGCTATTGATGGCATAAGGTTAGATTGTGAAACTAAACAGGAAGTTTTGCCAGTGGACTCTTGCACCAACAGATGGCCAGTGTTATCTGGTTGTGAAACTCGTGCTGATATGCCTTCAGTTAAAGGTATTGTTAAAATGGCAGTTGAGTATATACTGTGAATGTTGTTGTACTAGTCTTACAAGTTAAGTTTGCTCTTTCAAATTTTGCATGCACTTCCACTGTCCACCATCCTCGGAGACCCAGGGGCTTTTAATCGATTTCAAGCTAGGGCGGAAGAGCCCCTGGGGACATTGCCTTACAGGACTAGTTCTGAATGGTCGAAGTTGTTCTGGCATCTGATTGGTGCCAGAAAATCTTTGTGTTTTTCTGCCCAATCAGAGTGAAGTGTGCTTTGGAGTCCTTTCGTGTGTTTTAACATGGACATATACAAGAAGTTCAGTTGCCATGTTTATTTGGGCTGTGTGATGAAGCTTTGCTCGAGGTGCTTAACTTGGTCTTCAATAATTGACGAAAAAGGTGAAATTACAATGACCAAGGGACTAGAAGAGAATCTGTGGCCTTTTGAGCTCAAGAATTTGAAAACTCCAGGCAGCAGTTGAAAGATTAAGTTCTTTCTAAACCCTGTCGGTATCTGTCCAAAAACATCTCTCCTTCCCACAATGTTCTCGATAATAAGTTTTTGTTCAGATTTTAATTCATTAACCGGAAACACAGCTAAGCTTTCTCCAAGCGCTTGCTGGAGGTCGTCCACAAACTTAACGTTCTCTGCAATCTTGGCCGTATTTGTGAAATACTTTACTACAAAGTGAAGATTAGATTTTGGTGCACACAGAAAGCTACGTACGTAAGTGTAAGCGCCAGTTGCTCAACATACCTGCATGGCCCGTGCGACGAAATAACTTCATGGGATTGGCAAAGTTTCAGTAAGAGCAAATCATACAAAAAATCTAGAAAGATTCAAGCTTACATCTCGTTTAACATTTAAAGTGACATATTAACGCCTGCAACCATTGTGCTTTATATGAACCGCGCAAACTATTAAACATGTTCTCTTGTGATACCTGCGAAAGTATTCAGTATAATTTCCGGTAAGATTTTTTGCGGACAGTCTGATTGATTTCACTTACACTGTGTGCTAAGACTGAAACTTTTCACCTCAAGTAAAGCTCCGTGGCATGGCCCAAAATTACATGGTGAGCAACTGAGCTTCTTGTATATGTCCATGTTAAAACACACGAAAGGACTCTAAAGCACACTTCACTCTGATTGGGCAGAAAAACACAAAGATTTTCTGGCACCAATCAGATGCCAGAACGACTGCGACCGTTTAGAACTGGTCTTGCAAGACAATGTTCCCAGGGGCTCTTCCACCCTAACTTGAAATCGGCTCACAGCCCCTGGGTCTCCGAGGATGACTGTCCACTTGCTAAGTCAATTTTCTATCCTTTTCTTCTCTGTTCTATTTGTAGTGTTTCTTTCTTTTCTCTTCCTTTCTATTATTTCTCTTCCTTTTTTTTTTTGTTTCACCCACCAACCTACTTTCACTGGAGCAGGGGTTTCATCAATGTTTTCAGCAGGAGGGCAACTGGTTTTCAAAGGCGGGAAAAAGTTTTTAAACTGAACTTCTTTATAAGATAAACTTTCCTCCAGATCGTCAAATCAAGTGGGCAAAACCATCCTCACAACCAGTCAATTTGCCTGGTGCCCAGCCCTTAATGAAACCCCTGCTGGAGAAAAGGCATTGGGTAACAAAATCTTTCATAAGAATGGCATTAGTTATTTTTCACAATAAAAAAGCTTTAAGCAGTTGTCAGTCTCACTTTTCCAAATTTGATACTCATTAAGTACAGGGCTCGAAATTAATTTCTGGAGCACTAACCCTTCGGGTTAGTAGACATCTTTTTTATTAACCAAATGATAAAGGTTGGTAATTCCACAAGGTACAATATCTCAAATACTCAACATTTTGATAATAACAACTAGGACATTAAAGAATAGCCGAAATGTTGACAATTATGTACTCATTTTATTTCCCTCTCGTTTTACCATGATTAGTCAAGAACAGTACATCTACAGCACAGTCTCTAAAAAGAATTTAAGTTGATTTAACAACTTGAGTATTCTAATTATTCCTCTGAGAGTTGGGTCTACGTGCTCTTTGTCCTAAAGTCCACCAATGTTTAAATATTTTGGAAAATTTTACTAACCACGTCGGGTTAGTTGGACACATTTTTAGTAACCAAACGTTGAAAATTACAAACCATTGGTTAACGGGTTACCATTAATTTCGAGTCCTGAAGTATCACTGTAACAAACAGATTCCGTATTACTGTGTGTCTGTTCAGTACTAGATCAGACATGACTTAAAAATAACAACAATAATAATAATAATTTAATATTTATATTGCACAAATTAACATTTGGATATGATCAAATGCATATCACAGCACTTTTCGGGGGACTTTGGCTGGACTGCATCTGCAGCTTACAATCAATCGAAGAAACTTATTTGCAATTCAGCTCGTCAAATAGCACACTGTACTTCATGAGTGATGCAAGTTTCATTGTGATCTCTTTTCTTGTTGTGAGGTCCTGCATACAGTGTCGAATATTATGCCAAAGAAACCTATGTAACAGCTACTGGTTCAGAAGATGACCTTATAGCCATCTATGAATTTAAGGTGTTGTCCACAGCCAGTTATGTGGTTTGGAAGCAAACGTTTGCCACAAAAAACACAACAAATGGTGTCTCCTTTAGAGTTGATGAGGGTGATTGGTATGTCTGGCAACTGCCATTCAAAGGATCTAGTTCCTTATGGACACAGTTCTACCATCAGGTATTTTTTTAAGAACAGTTTAGCTCGATCTTTCATTTTGCGAGATGCAGAAAATATGAATATTTAATATTTATTAAGTTATTGTTTTTTCATTTCTTTTTTTTTTTTCAGCAATTCAAGTTGAGACCTGGAATTCATAAAGTGTCTTTGAGACAACAAGAGTTTGGTTTCCGTGTATCCAAACTTGCTCTTGTTCCAGTTTTTCTAACAATGTGGGCTGACCTAGGAATGCAGAGCCGTTATATCCCAGATGGATTTCTTTCTGCATTTCCCCCCAATAATCACCCAGAACCAAGATATGGAAGACTGCATGCGAAAGGTTTGATATTTTTGTTAAATTCAGTTCTGTTATTTCCTTAATCCTCATAATCAGGTGAGCTAGGAGACAATTGAAAGTAAATAGAAGACAGCCTAGGTTTGGATTAAAAGGAACATACGCATAAAAAGATTTTATGTAGATATTATGTACATGTTGCTTAAAACAAATGCTAGGTCAAAATGATAGAGTTCAATTTTTTATCAAATTTTATATGTTGTGGAAAACCTTAGCTACAATGGTGATCAAAAGTTTACCGAACACCTCCAAAACTTGACCAAAAAGTTGATATGTCTGTCACCCTTCTTAGATAAGATACAAATAACCTTGTTATAAGTGTTTTAATGGTGGTTTAGCCTTTTCCCATTCCACCAGCATGGGTTACAGCAAAGATCCAAGAGGTTGAGATCATCATTGTAAGGGGTAGGAGGAAGAGGACTGCATTAAAGAATGTCACAGTCTCTTTAGTGCGAGCCAGAGTGGGAGTGTCCCAAGACTTTGCCAAGATGGTTGTTTACCTGAATCTTTAAATAAAGAAAAACAAAAATGCATGTACTGTAATCTGTGTTTCATTTGGTTAGGGATGAAGGCAATGATATTGATGATTTCAAACAAAGCTGGAATAAAATAAAGCTTGTTTGTTCAATTCAATTTGAAATAAAAATTTAAACTTTGATGATTATTTAAAAGAATTGGAAACACTTACGGGCTTGTTAACAGAAATATTCACATAAAACTTCAATCTGTTGTGATGTATGATTACATAATTATGGTTATTATGTCCTTCAGATGCTTGGTGTTCATCAGACATCAATAAGGGATATGTACACTTCCAGATTAAACTGCCACAGTTGGCACTTCTGTCTGGAATATCGGTGCAAGGAGGAAAGGATATATTGCAGAAGTCAAATAATTACTGGTTAACAAGGTACAGCATACTTTAATGGTATGCTATTGTGTGTATCCAATGGTGTGGTTTGAGTCTTAGTGATACTAAATATAAGAGGTACTTGCTAATAAAATGAACTACAATGTACATGTAGTACAGTAAATTTTTATCTTAGGATTTGCTTTGTAACTCTATTCTAGTTGTTGGAAGATCATTCAAGGTCATCTTATATTTTTTGTTTGCTAGCAAATGCTTAAAAAGTATTAAACTGTAATTTGACTGATAAAGCACTTGCATGCAACAGGCAGAGATTAACAGGGTAAAAATTTGTCTCATCCAAGGCTGGATTACTGAAAGGCTATTGATTTTGAGGGTGTAAATGAAAATAAAATCTAGATGTCATAAGCACATTGGTTACTGTCTACTTTTTTAATCTTTTAGTTTTAGAATGAAGGTTTCCTTGGATGGTGTCAGATACACTTGGTACAGAGATACCCATGGCAGGCGGACATTTACAGCCAACAATGGTAATGAGTAAAATGATAGAAAGTAACCAGCAATGGACAACCAAATACAGTAAATGATCACTTACTTGTAGTTCATTTAACCCATATGTATTCGTTTTATTAGTATTTGACATTATCAATGTCAATTATTCTCCCAATGTAGATGCATCAAGAGTAGTTAATCACACTTTGGAGTTTGTCAGCCCAGTTCATGGAGTGAGGATCTATCCTTGGGAATGGGGAAACTGGATATGTTTGCGAGCTGAACTGTATGGAATGTACCTGAGTAGTGAACTCTGTGCCAATCCTGGCCCAGCTGAGGTGATGAGCAAGCCATGTGTGGGTGATAGGGACTGTGGTCTGAATGCTGAGTGCAAACTGCCATTTGCATCAAAGATACAGAAAAAAGGTACAACTTACTGGGCAGTTAAAGTAGAGGAATGATACTGTACTCTCCATGGGGAAAGTTAGGAAATCTTCTAATAACTAACATTGTTAGGAAAATGACCTAAATCACTGATTATAGATCTCAGGGTGCAAGGTCTTAAATGCAAGGTTGCCCTTTTGGTGTTGTTTAATGGTTTTTGTTTGTTTGTGTGTTTGTTTTTATTATTATTATTATTATTATAATTATTATTATTACAAACAACAGTGTATTGAAAGGTTTTGTTCCCTTTGACAAAGATTTCCAATCTGCCAGAGAGACCTCCAATTTTTCTAAATTGAGTGAAAGAGATGGACTACAAATGTATAATTTATGTTGCATGTTTAAGTACAGTTTGTTTTTCTTTGACTAGTTGTAGATAATGATGTGAATCAGTTCAATGAATCTTGTGGCTGTTTGCATGGTTACCATGGCATCAGTTGTCAACATTATGGATGTTCATCAAACCCCTGCCTGAATGGTGGGAAATGTTCTGAAGTGAACGGTACCTTTCATTGCACCTGTCAACCCAGTTACCATGGAGACACCTGTCAGCACTCATGTAAAGATGGTTACTATGGCTTTAACTGCAGTCAGAAGTGTCTGTGCCAAAATGGCTCATGTGATGGAGCAACTGGACATTGCAGTTGCAAACGTGGATATCATGGGAACTACTGTGAACTGGGCTGTAGCCCTGGTTACTATGGCTACAACTGTGTCCAGCAGTGTCAGTGCAGAAATGGTGAAGTGTGCCATCCTGTGACAGGGGTATGTGACTGTGCAGTGGGTTGGAGAGGGGCACTGTGTGACAAGCCTTGTGGATTGAACACATGGGGAAAGAACTGCTCTTTGAACTGTTCTTGTTGGGAGTCTGCCAAATTTTGTGACAGGTTCACAGGGGAATGCATTTGTTTGCCGGGATATTTTGGAAAGTAAGTCAAGGCGGTTTTTTTATGTAATATTTTTAATTGCTGCTAAGTACAAATTAGTAAGTTTCTTGCGCACAGATTAGCATCCAATATGTTACTGTCAGCAAGGTAGCACATAGCTTTGTGAATAGCATTATCCTGCCTTCATGTAGATTGAAGAAACTGAGCTCATGTCTACAGTGATCCAAGTTATAGTGGACCTCAGGATATCTGTGGAGATGAATATCACTACTGCCCCCCCACCTTTCCCTCCCTTTTTGTAATGCCTGTCCATGGCAGGTTACAAAACTTTTCCATGTTTTATCTGCATGTGATAAAGCAGTAATAAAAGTAATGTAATCTCCTTTGATCCTCCAAAATTAAGGTGAATGCACATTGCAAACAAATATTACCATCACCTATTGGTAGGTAGGTTTGTGTGTGTAAGAGTAGTTTTGCTTACATATGTACCCGAGCAAAGTAGCTCTAGGCAGGTGTAGTGTATCCTGGTTTCCATAGCATGGAGTGGGGAGGAGTTATAATTACTCCTCCTTCCCTTCCTAGATGGATTGCCTGTTCAGATCAGGTTACAAAACTGTGCAGTGTTTTATCTGACAGTGATCAACTATTAATAAAAGTAATTTTCTCCTTTGATCCTCCAAAATTAATGCGAATGGACATAAACAAATATTACCTACCCATCGGTAGGATTGTATTATACTTAAAGTGTAGTTTATTGGTAGACTAATAAGTCTGCTGATATTTTGAACAGGAAATGACAGTATCCTTGCCCTGCAGGAACATATGGCTTTAACTGTAGTGGCAGATGTCAATGTCAGCATAATGCAGATTGTTCCAAGGAAGATGGCACTTGTAACTGTACCCAGCCAGGGTGGACTGAGATACTGTGTGATCAGCCTTGCCCAGGGGGGTACTATGGTGTCAACTGTGCCCAAAAATGCAGGTGTCAGAGTGGTTCAGCTTGTGATCCAATGACAGGTAGAGCTGTTAACATACATATGTGTGAAATAAACCTCAAAGGCTTTACCTTGCTCTGTATTGGGTCTATGACACTCGTCCAACTTTTCAACTGATAAGACTATAGATAGTGACTTTTTTAGGTGCATTTCCCTGTACATGATATTTTGACATGAAAGTTTGTATTTGCTTGTGCTGTCAAATAGTGCCCATGGCTGGCCAAATTTTCCTGCTACTCTGCCATCTTACATGTAGGCTGGCTTCCTTCTCCTCAATTTTTTCAAGGATCTGATGAACAATCAGCTAGTTATTGAAACAGCATGTAAAAAACTTCTGCAGCAGTTATTACCCAGCCATGAGTGGAATATTACATGCATGAAGTAACAGTTGCATGGAGGTGTACTGTAGATGTGTGAAGGGATTTTATGTTCATAATTTTCACAAAGGTTCATGCAAATTCATGTAATATTTTGACGGAGTAGTTCGCAGTCTCACTGTAATCTGAAGAAACACAAGTCTGTGAGCATCCATAATAACCTGGCCACCCTCTGAATCTGAGATGCCTTCTACTTTCAGCATATCCACAATCCTGAGGTACTATTATAATTTTTGTCCTTTTTATCATTGATAGGATCTTGCATTTGTTCAAGTGGCTCGTCAGGTCTGCTCTGCAACAAAACTTGTAGCCAAGGGTACTGGGGTAGAAATTGTTCTATCGCTTGCTCCTGCAAGAATGGAGCGCACTGTGATCCTATAAATGGACAGTGCACATGTGAGAATGCTGGTGGCTGTCATTGCAATCCTGGTTGGACTGGCTGAGATTGCACTGTGCCTTGCAGCAATGGTTTTTGGGGAGCAGATTGTAACAATACCTGTTTATGTGGACCCAATGGAGTATGTAATCAGGTTAGTGTTCCTCTAAAAAAGTGAAATTCTGTTGGTAAAGATGTTGTTACACACAATTTTATTATTTCCTTTTTACATGTACTTGAAGCTATTTGTAAGAGAGTGAAACATCATCCAGTTTAAATTTTGAAATTTATTTGCAAAGTACATATCTTGTTTTTGTTCAATAGAGTAATGGCAACTGCCAGTGTCTACCCGGTTACACGGGCTCCAAATGTGACCATCCTTGCCCACTAGACCGTTATGGCCAGAACTGCATCTACAAATGCAGTTGCTCTCACTTATCCTCTCTTGGTTGTGACCCCCTCAGTGGGAGCTGCCTCTGCAAACTGGGTTTTGCAGGACCACTCTGCAATATCCTGTGCCCTGCTGGTCGGTGGGGCACCAACTGTTCCAAGTCCTGTTCTTGTATTAATGGCTCTTGTCATCCTATGTCTGGAAATTGCACTTGTAATCGAGGCTGGCAGGGGTTGCTATGTGACCAGGCCTGTCCCAGCTGTGGTAAGCCATGCCCCACCTGTCACCATAGCAATGGATCATGTGATCAAGTCTTGGGGGAGTGTATCTGTTCCCCAGGCTACCAGGGAAGTTCATGTTTGGAACCTTGCAGTGCAGGTTACTTTGGTGAGAATTGTCAGAGGAAGTGTGAGTGTGCTGGTGGAGCACTTTGTCATCACGTGACTGGGAACTGCCTCTGTGAGCCAGGATGGATCGGAAACCACTGTGAAAAAGGTAATGAATTGCTGTTCATCGCTTTGGGAAATGTTATTGATGATTAAATTGAATAGAAAGCTATTTGTCCTTATGGTTCTAGAAAAGCCTGATGAAGTAGAGATTTTTGTCAATTTATAATTGATTTCATTTGTAAACGAATAATTTACAGCTGTACATTTCTTATCGATTGATAAGGGTTGGCTGGTATCTCCCTGAATTTTATTTTTAAGAATTTATCAACCTTTTGGTACATTCAGATATCATTAAATTCAGAATAAAGAACTTACACAAATCCGGAAGCAAGCTATGAATTTTATGTTACAGCTTGTTTAGTTAACCCTTTAGCTACTGGAAGTGATTATTAAACATGTAACTTCTGCCCATGATATCCATACATTAGTATAATACTAAAGCAGTGGATAGCGTTGAAGGCGCGCTCTGATTGGCTAGTCAAACTCTGAATATCCTTTGCTATTTACCTCCGAGCAACTCGGGAAAAAATGGCGTCCCGCTTTGCATCCGTGACAAGCGAAGAAATCACTCAAATTAACGACTGTGGTGTATATTATCTCGCTTTTTGAGTATATACTAAAACAACTATTCACCTCCGTGTCGGTGGTTAGCGGTGGATATTTACCTCGCCGCTTCGCGTCTCGGTAAATCCACCACTAACCACCTCCATTTCGGTGAACAACAACAATTTAACATTTATATAGCGGAAACTACTATATAGATAATCAGTCGCGCTTTACAATCAGTTAAGGTGAAATCGGACGTCAGAATTCATCAGGCGCACTATGCAGCCACTTCAGTCCATGTATTGATCTCACCTTCCCTCCCCAATTCACCCTAGATTAGACACTACACAAAGATAGACCACAACACCGGGCACTACGTGCCCTACTCTTTTCGAAGAGTGTGTGGGTTCTTTAACGTCCCACAATTTTTATCACATATAAGGGCTTGTGAGACGGGACCTCCATTTATCGTCCCTATCCGAGAAGACTAGAAAGTCTAACCATTTGCAGATATTATTACAAAGGCAGCACTTTCTTCTCAGTTATTTAAAGACCCTGAGTGTTGGTCCGGCCGGAGTCGAACTCTCGACCTCCCGCACAACAGTCCAGCGCTATACCAATTGAGCTAACCGGGAGGCGGTTATCTTGATCTAAAACCAAATTGGCGCCACTAACTTAAAAGGAAGCATGTAGCAGCAAGAGGGGAGAATTAACAATCAGATCTTGGGAGTTAAAGCTTTAACTGCATGTGATCAGTATGCGGCAGAAGCGCGTGATGAGCACGTGAGAGAACTAGATTGCGCGCTTATTTGATATTTAGCTCTGTTCAACATCAAAACCAGCCAATATATCTCAAAAATGAAGTGAAGTGTGAAACAAAGCCTTAGGTTGAAAAGAGAAAAATATGCAAAATGCCCACGTCTCTGATGTATATCTAAAGATAGCGGTAACAGTTGATTTCACAACATTCACGATCTATAGTAATAGTGGTAATGTAGTTGTCGATGAAATGCCAGCATTTTTTTCTGTTTCGAGACCATGACATCTTCATCGCACGCAGTAAGGGTACCAATTGTACTTTCACCCGTAAATATGTCAATGTCGTCACCACAACCAGATTTATCAAAATGACGGTTTTACTTTCCATGCAAAGATTTTTTTTACATCTACGGACGTTTCTAAGACTGAACTGAACATGTTTTAAAGGAAGTAGTCCCTGTAATGTCCAAAGAAGTTGAAGTGGTTTTCGGGCGACCTGAGTTTTCGATGCAGCAGATCTCTGTATTAATTCTTTGATAATGTGTTTCAAAATTGTCTTTGATTCAAATTTGCAATCATCAATGTTGAAAGTGTCATGTATAAAAATTATGTAACGAAAGAAAACATATTTCGAGCTCCATCGTGACAGATGTAAAAAGAATTTTTAAAAA